GCCCCACAATACTTTCTACATTTCTATAATACTCCAGTAGCAAATGGAACACTGGCAAATATCACAATCAAAACAAAAAACAGGATTTGAGCATTTGAAAATACCTCTGTTAATGTCCACTGTGGGAAAAAGGAAAATTGGATTCAAAGTGCGTGAAATGCATCTATTAGTCTATCAAATCATTTTTCAGAGGCAACAGTAGGAATTGTTTTTTCACCAATGTTACACATAAATGTTCTTCACAACCCGAATACGAAACATAATAATATTGACTCCCTTCTGCAGAAATGAGCTCTTTATAATCATTTTACATAAACACCAGCGGACGCCGTGTCCTATAGACACATTAAGTCCAGCTTTAGTTTTAGATGTCTGTAAGTGCAGATTTGCATAATGTTACGTATTAAGCTACATTTTATCATTTCAATTCTAGCTTTAATTAATTGCATTGGAGAGCATGCAGGAAGTGGATGATGCCAGAGAGGTTGATTAGGCCACTATTCATGCTTATGTGGAGTGTATGTGTGAGGATGCAAACATATCCTCGTTTTTTTGATATGGAAAAATGAGGCTCCTAAAGACTACTGAATATTTGCACCAAGATTTAATGGAAAAGCATTCAAAGGTTATAGAAAAGTCTCCCTCAAATGATACCGTGGTTATTAAGTCTGCTGCATTTCAGTTATTCATTGAATGTCCTTTTATTAAAAGCTGGAGATGAACTTGGAAAGCACAAAAAATGTATGGATATATTAAAATCTATAGCTAGTTCCGAGATCTCAAAACAGTTTGCTCCTGTCACTGGTTTTCACACACTGTACTTGTACTTTTGGTTTTGGCTCCTGTCACATCTTTAGGCAGGGCAAGTGTATTTGTCTAGCACAGTCATACACAAGGCAAGTCAAAGTGCTGAACAAAACAATACAAGGCATTCAATCAGTTGTATGCACAGCTAAATTGTTATTTTTAAAACGTGGATATGAACAATGTCAGAAATGAAACCTGTCTCACATTTTCAGGAAGACTGTTCCAGATTTTTTAGCTGCATTTAGATCAACTAAAATATAGGATAAAAGAGAGGTACAGCCCTTCAGTCCCTCGGCTAATCAGCTGTCAGTATGTCTGTTTCTGTTAAGATGGCAACTGTGTGTTGGATAATGTTCTGTCGGGATAAACAACATGTATTTATGAAACCGAAACAAAGTAAGTTACTTCAGCTTTAACATTCAGTGTTCTGCGCTCTCTTTTTGGTTTCTTTTTTGCATTTAGAGCATTTGCCTTTGGGCCTGAAGGTCGTGGGTTTGAGCCCACCACAAGACCCACTTCATGACTGCTGTTGTTGTGTCCTTGGGCAAGACACTTAACCCCACTTCGCCTGAAGCCCCCACTGAATAATCAAGGCTCCTGTGGACTCACCACCTGCAGGAGGATCAGTGAGGGGCTGGTGCTCTGTGTACTGGGTGCAGCTCTGACTGCCACCTAGAGTTTGGTTCGGGCCTGAAAAATCAAGCCCGACCCGGCCCGAGCCCGCTAATACTAAGCCCGAGCCCGTATAAGCCCGACCAATTCAGGTTGTATAAAAGGCCCGAGCCCGACAGAAGCCCGACACATCTGATTTCCCTTGTTGTGCGCACTCACCTTCCAATTGCAAGTTTAGCCACTTCTGAATGTGTTTTGTACGTCCACCTGATCCATTTCTGTTAATGTTCCGTGTGTTCGCTCTTGACCGTAGCATTCAACAGGAAAAACAGGGATGATGCGTTCATGGCTTGCTGCGGCTGTAGGACACGCCGGTTACGGTGTTATAAATATATCAACTTTTTTAATAACTTGTGGTCAATCAACGGACATTATTATTAATAAATACATATATGCATATCATTATGTATGAAAATCATAAATGATAAAAAATATTGATACATTTTTAAAAAAAAAGTAAAAATAAAAAGGAGCCTGAGCCCGGAGCGGCCCGACTGCTGAGCGCTGAAGTGAGTCCCTGCTCGGGCTCGGGCTGAAAAGCGAAACTACTGCTACCCCCCCAACCCAGACATGGATTAAGGGGAAGAAAATGGATGGATGGAAGTCAAAGATATTACTTTCTCCTTTTTAGAATTCAAAATATACCGACTGAAAGCACATCCCTGTGATTGAAAGAACACAATTCCATGTAAAACTTACAAATATTTATGTTTTTAAAGCCAGAAAACGACTCTGAGCGTGATGTCAAAACGTGATGACGAGAGCTCTCATTATAAAAGTCTCATGTTTGCACCTTCAGTCTAATCTACATGTGTTTGTTCATTTAATTGTTTTGTATTTGAATTTATTTATTGTAAACTTATATACTGTATGTCTGTAAGGAGGATATAATTCACTGTGTAATTTTTCCCATGGCCCTATACCCAGGAAGTACCAACGCAAACCATAAAGGAGAGAAGCCGACGTCCAAATCAAGCAGGGATCGATATTGGCAGCACATGCAACACATTTTAACAAGATAATTGTAATGGTGTCTTATCTTCACATGCGAGCCATCAGAGAGATAAAGCAGTCTTTAAAGCGCTGTTCCATTTTAGATAAATGAGGCTGAGTGTTCTGATGGACTGCGGAGGAGGAAACAGATCATTTCCTTTTTGGGTCATTGGGTCTGACTGGGGCCTGAGCTCTCGATGGACGTTTCTGGCAAGATAACAATATGTTTTGTTGCATAAGAATTGCGCTCGCTAGTTTTGACTATATCACTTTGGCATATTGTTGTTTTATCCCTTCCAGATTTGCAATGTTTTGTTTACCAGTGGGAGATTACCCTGAGGACAATAAAACAATGCAAATAAGAGAATGTTTCTTGGGATTTGAGTAACGGTGACTGGAAATAAGACTTACCACTGGGACTAGTGGTAAGTTCTTATTGTTTTGGTCATTTGGAAAAGTTACAGAGAGAGCGCGAGATCAAAACACAAGATTAGACAGACGCTTGTTATTACAGCATCTCTTCAAAATCAAAGCACTGAAAGTTCATTCATAAAACATGATCAAAACATACTCACGTAATGCTTCATTGTTTGGGTTGTGAGATACGACCGGGCTACATGGATCATATTTTATCAATGTAGCCCTGCAGCCCTTTTTAAATTATTGTTTTAATAATTCACTTTTCACAATTTTAGTATGATTAGCGCTAAATTAGCCGAGACCTCAATTATTCAGCGGACGTTATTTCATTCACAAACATCAAATTATAATGCTGCTGATTGTGACAAAATAGGCCATATCTGTGTTTAGAGCTCTGAAACAGGGATGTAAATATGAGGATCATTGCGAATGTCAAAAATAAGCTAGAGCCAGCTTGAATTAGGTTCTGTTTTTTCTTTTGCTTGTTATTATTTTGAATTATATAGTATATAGAGGTCCCTCACTATAACATGGATTATCTGTTACAGCAGACAAAAGTATACATGCATACAACATTATATAAAATACTAGCATTATATGACAGTCAGTCCCCCAGTATAATTATATTTTTTATTATTTTTATTTTTTTCCTTCCTTTTAATTAGTATTATCATTATATTTTACCTTTTGGTTTTCTGTTCCTAATTTTTTATTTATATATATATATATTTTTTGTGGATTTTATTTTGGTGCTTGTTGCTGTTTATTTCTTGTTTATTTTTCGTAAATGCTAAATTTTGGAATATTAAGATGATGACAGCGAGGACTATACTAAAAGAATAGTTCATTTTAATAAGTAATAGATTAGTTGTGAGAATGCTCGTGTGAATGAGTGAATGTATGAGTTTATTTGGGTTGGCTGGGGGGGTTACCTGTTGTGCACTTTTGGTTTGTGCACATAAATACAATTATAAAAAAATAAATAAAAGAAATATGACATTCACCTTCATTTAAAGTCAGAAGAAAACTTTTTGTGGCTTGTGTGCTCCGCAGTTATTAGTTCTGAGGAGTCCTGCGGTCTCCTGTATCCCTCTGTCCGCCGTGTTTTACAGTGTATGCACAGCAACGCTCAGAACAGGTTTGATCTCTCTGCGATCGCACTTCAGCAGTCGTGACTCAGTCGTGTTCAGGTGGGGTGGTTAGAAAAGTGTATAAAGTGTGTGTGGGGGGTTTTACAGCCTGAAAATGTGAAGCTGCCACGTCATGGATTTTGCATATGGCGGGTAATCGTGGGGCCACTGTCTCTTCAAACTCCTTTGCCCCATGTGGATGCAGAATATTATCTTGAAATCACAAATCGTTGTCACAAAGTCTTTACCACACAAATCACGATGTGTGCGTTTGTTCATTTTGAAAAACAATACCTTAAAAAATGTATAACTGATAAAAAATGTTATGTCTTCTACAAAGATGGAGTATATACCCCCCCTTCATAAATAATACATTATCTTTGTCCCAACAGAAAGTTCAGTCAAGGTAAAATGTTGTGGACAAATTGGAAATCAAACCGATCCCACAACATGCTGTTTTCCTTCGAAATATTTCCATGTTTACTTTTGTCCTTTTTTAAAAGAAAGAGCCCTGTTGGTCACTATTTAGCTTAGTTTATTTACTATTTGACTCTTTGCTGAGCTGAGAGCTGATTGGTTGAGTGTGAAGATGACCAAAAATACTTAATGTTAACTACTTACTGTTTTAGGAGTTATTCAAACATTAGGATGATGTGATGCAATGCTTTGGAACACCTTTTTTTTTTTTTTTTCTTGGTTTGGGTGAGGTTGTTTTGTCTTTTCAATGTATTCTCCCTCTGGATTGTAAATAAAGTACACCTAGCAGAGTTTGTCCATGCTTGATGTTCCTTGTGCTTGTTGCTTGCACAATAAAAAAAAAGAGTATTATTAGGACTTATACAAACTTGCTAGAATAGTTGTCGGTCATATTTCCATTGCAGTCGTTTGGAAGTTCAGTACACCAGCTTTAAACATGGATCAAACCTTTCCTTTTCGGGCTCTTGAGAGTTCCTGACCCACGTTACCTTCTCTCGGCAGGTACCTCTACTTCGAATACAACGAGATCCACCACATCGACCGCGGCACCTTCAACACCATGCCCTCTCTCCAGCTGCTCTTCCTGAACGCCAACCTGCTGCGGAGCCTTCCTCTGGGGGTCTTCTCCGGGGTCAACCTGGCCCGATTAAACCTGCGCAACAACCACCTCCTCCAGCTGCCCATGGAGGGGGTCCTGGAGCACCTGACGGCTCTGGTGCAGGTCAGTCAAAGAGCGAGCGTGACCAATGCTTGTTGGAGTTTGGCAAAGTTTTCCAGAGTCAGAGGCCTTAGAAGTCGGAAGTAAGATAAGATCAGATAAGACTGGGTTTGTCCCTGAGTGGGGAAATGTCAATGTCATAAAAATGAATGACATTGTTGTGTTTACTTAACGTTTTCTCGAGTTAGAGGCCTCAGAAGTCGGTAGGAAGATAAGCGAAGATTTTTCCCGTCTCTTCGTGGGGAAATGTCAATGTCATAATAATGAATAGGAGGAGAAAAAAGAGCTCTCTGATTACGCACACATACAACAAGAATCTATTATTTAAGATAATATTCATTCAATTCAATTTTTTTCTTGTAAACCCCTAAATCACAGCAGTATCTTTGAGAACTTTACACCAGGTGTCTCCAACCTGTAGCTTGGGAGCCACCAGTAGCTCGCCAACCCCTCCCAGGTAGCTCGCTAAAGGATTTAGAAATGAACAAATCAAATAATATACTTAATATTTCACATTGTATTATTCATTATCATTATTTATTTGTGCACTAGACACAATCATGTGATGATAAGTAATGACTATACCAAATATCAGTTTTGTTCACACCTCAATATATCACCAATGTTTTCCAAAGGGCGCTTAAAGGGGTAGCTCACTGCCTTTATCGTCCAGGGAAAGTAGCTCTCTGGGTGAAAAAGGTTGGAGACACCTGCTTTACACAATCGTTGAATTCACCAACACAGATCAGACACATCGGTATTGGTCCATAAGAGGCAGATGACATGATGATTTTGTGATATAAGGCTGGACACAAGCAGGATTTTTTGTTGCGTTAGTGCTAATGCTAATGCTCATGCTAATGCTCATACGCAAGTTAGCAATTAGGACATTTGAGAGGTTATTACATTACAATGTCTTTATGGTTATTGATGGAAACAGATTTATTTTAACGCTAACTCTGAGAGCTGGCGAGGGAACATGGACATTTGTGTATTTTATTTGTAGAAAGTGAGTTTATGCTCATATTTGCATCTGTAGGTACTTCAGTGTGTCAGGGCTTGCTGCGTGAAGTTTGCATGTTATCCACGTGTCTGCATATGTTTTCTCTGTGTGCTCTGGTTTCCCCCGAGCACAAAAAGTATTACTCTCATAACTACATCGGTCTCTCATATTGTGTTTTGTGGCATATCTCTCAGTAACCAAACGTTATTTCATCCGCTGCAAAAAATGATAATTTTGCTTGTCATTTTGGCAAATCTTGTTTTAAGGCAGTCAAAATGCGCTCAAATCAAGCAACACTTTTTCTTCTATTTTTGACTTATTTTCCATCACTTTTTGCGGAGTAGCATGCAAGTGTGAAACGGAGCCTCGGTAACAATGGCAGATCTGTAACTGTTTGACGTGAAAGCAGATGAAGAACTGTTTTTGACCTGAGATTATGAAGATTTGGGTCATAAATCAACAGTCAGATCATTTAGCTTCACTGTTGGCCCAACTGTTAGTTCAGTCAAAAAGTCAAATAATCTGTTGTTTTTTTCCCCCTAACATTTCATAGCAGTTAATCATCTGCTCATCACATCTCTCATTTTTATTGTGTTGACTTCAAGGTTATTAGGAAGGAAAGAAAGATGTCTGTTCATTATATTCGTTCAATAGTTTCTAGCCGCAGGTAAGGCTGAGCAATACAGATGTGTTCCTTCATATTGATTGATCACAATTAGAATTCAATGTTTTTTTTATATTTACACAGCACTAGTCTCAGGACACATAATTATTTTTACAGTGACCTTATCTTCAGCGATTATTCGTAGCAAAAGCAAAACAAATGTAATGCAATGATTCATCGGGTTCAGATACATAGGACAATAGAAATAAAAACATCACACAAAAATAAAAAATGCAGAACAAAAATACATATTACAATGAATAGACTAATTTAAAGTAGCAGTATGTAATATTTGCATGTCAAGTCATCATTAAATGGCCTCCATATTTCAAAAGGCGTTATTAAATCATGCTCTTTTCAAACACATCTTTAACTGATAACAGTAGTTCATCCGAGATATTTGATTATCAAAATTAGTTTTACGACCCGTAAAAGTTGTTATTGTTTTGATTTTGATGTCCTACCCTCCGCCGTTTCGCCAATCAGGAAGTGTCATGTAAGTCCGTGATCGGGTTGCCAGAACTCCGTGCGGCTCACTAATCTCAGTGGTAAAATAACATGTGGCGCAGAACTAAAAAAATGTCTTGTTATGACTCTCAAATAATTAATGACAAAACAAAGACTAAAACGAGGATTTATATCGGGACGCCTTTAGTCTCTTTTTGATGTGGGACTTATACATGTTTGTCTAAAAAATAGGGAATAAATAAAATTGGCAATCTGGCAACCTGAGTCAGGGAGAGTGGGAGAGGACTACAAAACATTGACTGTGACTGCAGTACCACTTTTGGCCAGATTGTTACATTGTTCCTTTAAAAAGCTAGCTGCAATGTGTGTAGACCAGGAGTGTCCAAACCTTTTAGTAAGAGGGAAACTTTTCTTCCCTGGCAAATGTCTCCTGGGAAAACCACCCAGATTGTAAAAGACTGAGCTGAAGTTGGCTGAATGACAAATGTTTTCCTTCTCCCCAATCACATTAGCGCCTTGAAAGTAAGTTTGCCAAGGCACAGTATACCTATATTGGTGAAGCTGAAGTTGGCTGGATGACGCTGTTCTTGTGTTTAGGATCTCAATCGTGCTTGGGGTTAGCTAGGCAGAGGGCCACGTGATATGACACAGGAGGCCGAAATTGCTCTGTGGGCCTGGATTTGGACGTACCTGGTGTAGACCCTCCGACTGTTATATTAAAATGTCTTGTTGTTGCTCCGGGAAACCAACACATTTGGATCACAAACAGTAGCCTTTGTCAAGACAGGACATTGGATTTTAGTTTGAGAATCCACAACAACATACCAACCAAACATTGTAGTTTGCAAGGATAGAATGAATTTCAACACTTTCCTTTTGAATACACCCCTGCCTCACTGACTTGCACAAAATGAAACGTTCTCTTCATCTGTACAGGCCACGTGTAAAGCCGACACGTGTGACATGTGAGTATTGTAAAGATCCTATTGTATACCGGAAACTAAAGAGCCGAGAAGCCTTTGTGATGACCCTGTCGTACGCCTTCGCACCTTGTACAAGACAGACACGAGACGAGATTTCAACGTGACATGTTTTTAAGCGTAATAGCAACCTGCGTGACTCCGTGCAGATGAATTACTTTGATATAGTTTGGTGGAAAACCCCAGGTATCTCCGTAGCGACGAGCCCACCTCCGTGTGACAGGCCAGATCAAAGAGGCAGCGGGTTATGGAGACATGGAAACACCCACAGTTATTACAAACCAGGGGTGACTTAACTGCGGTGAATTATGCAACATTTGAGGTTTAACCATGTCACGACTTTGTTTCTTCGTGCAAAACAGGTCTAAGGTTGATTTTAGCTTCATCCATGCTACATCCATGTAACCCCCCGTCATTCCCTTCTGTCAGAAAGCTATTTTATTCCCAATCTTGGTCATACGCTCTCAGACTTTGTGATGTCCTGGACAACACAACTTTCTGGAAAAGTATTGAATTTCTGCAGTTAAAGCTGGGATACCTAACTTTCAAACCACAAAAAATAACTGTGCATCCTTGCCTTCAAAACAGTGTGGTTCTATTACTAGTTTTTTTTTTTTTATCTCATCTTTGGATCTGCTTTTTATGACCCAAAAGTCAAAAAATAGAGAAGCGTCCACTCTCAGCCAATCAGCTCTCATCCCAAAACATTGTATGACTTCTATGATTATTTACGACTCCAAAGTGTTTTTTGTTTAAAATGATAGATGTTGTTTAAAGTCATCATCTGTATAGTACTTTGGCTTAATGAATAGATTTTATTACCATACTTTCTGGACTATAAGGTGCACCTGAGTATAAGCCGCACCACATAAAAATTGAAATAAATCATTATTGTCCACATATAGGCCACACTTAATTATAAGCCGCAGGTTTTCATGTCGTAATGCAACTGTTTTTACCGGACATGATTTAATGTTGGTGATTTTCCATGACTCATTCACCAGTCTACTTTCACAATATACCTGCACTGTGTCCTGTAGCTACTAAAATTTGATGGAGTCAAAATAATACGTCCATAAACTCTCGCTCTGACAACTCTACCACAACAAAAATACACACATTAGCATTGCTATATAAACCGCAGGGATCCAAGAGCTAGAAAAAAGTAGCAGCTTATCGTCCGGAAATTATGCTAATATGGTTTCCACTAAAATATGGTTAAAATACTTGTGTCTAGAAGAAATATGCTCACCAACCGGAGGATCCAACCAGTTCCAGCAGGTTTCACAAGGGCATTTCTAGGTTGGCTTTTTTATATTTTAGCCCGGCAAGTCAAACAACACGATAATTGCGGCAAACCTGTGAATACAAAAGCACCTAACCAAAAGTGTGTGTTTGTCTAATGTTCAGCCCGGTGGAAACACAAAACAGGAGGACTATTCTTGGAGGAGCTCGTGTTTTGGCTGCTGCTCCCTCTTGTCTTACCGCTCGTGAACAGGAGTTGCCAAAAACTTGGATATTGCACAGACTTTCTTCATTACTCAGGCTCGCTCTGTTCCTGCTAACCTGATTTGTAATGAAAAGAGGAAGTTATTTAGACCTTAACATATCAAAACGTTTACTCCCTCATGCAGGAATCAACCTCTTAGTTTGGATTTGAGGATTCAGAATCGTTCATTATCACTGCTTTTCATTATCATTTTATCAACTGTAAAAGCTCTGAGTGAAATATGGGACAGCTGCTACCCCATTAGAATAAATTAAGAATGAATTACCGGACATTTGGCAACCCTTTTTAGACGAGACAAAAGAATATTCAATGTCCTGACATATATTATGCGCAATTTTGATCTTTCAAACATGTTGTACTCTCATGAAAAACAGAACTGGAGATGTTCTTAGCTCGATCCAGGAACTTTTGTCACACATTTCTTACAATTTTGCATCATGGACAGAGCTGCTTTCCGTCGTT